TTTACCTTTATTGTCTCGTTATGGGAACCCAAGGCCTTATACAAGCTGGGCAAGCAATTTTTTTTTATGGAGAACCTGTTCTGTGTTAGCTAGCTCATAAAGTACAACCAACACACCTGTCAGGTGTTTAGAGAAGAAAGAAACCAGTGAGTGTTTGACTGGCTGTTGAAATGTTATGGACATTCTCTCCAGCAGAGCCTTATAAATTAGTAAAATTTGAACAGGTAGAAAACACTGGGCAGGTGTACCTGGAAGAGACCCAGGAAGAGATGAAGCATGAAGATCTTGAGCAGAGACATGGAAAAGAACAGTCTTTCTGTTCTCTTCCTCTACCCTGCTCTTCATTGCCCCACTGACTGAGTAAAGGGACATACCCCAACCTTGAAAGCTCAGAGTCCACCACTCACTGCAGAACTCGCTTTGGCTTCATGAATGGAAGACCTGGTCTTTTCTTCCCAATTAAACCTCTGTTCTGTTTTCACTACCTCTCTGGAGGATGGGGACAATGCCTTTTGCTTCTTTCATAGCTGAGACTCATTTTTAATGTTTCATATGCAGTAAGCACCCAGCAGTAAATGCAGTTAAACAATGAAAACTTTCTTTTGAATTTGTAATCACTTGCTCTGAGCTAGGGGAGAGGCTCATGGTTAGTGAGGTCAGAGACTACAGGCTAGATAATTATACTGGAGATATAGACAGCTTTGCGCGTTTTTAAAGTAGCTTAACACCCCCCCCCCAAGTGCTGGAGAGACAGCTCAGCAGTTAAGAGCATGTACTGCTCTTCCAGAGGACCCGAGTTCAGTTATCAGCACTCATGTCAGGTGACTCATAACCACCTGTAATTCCAGCTCCAGAGGATCCAATACCTCTGGCCTCTGTGGGCTCCAGTACTGGTATACATACATATACACATGATTAAAAATGAACCAAATCTTTAAAAAGAGCCCTGCAGAAATAAAGCTGGGGAGACAGATCAGTAGGTAAAGTGCTTAATGTGCAAGCACAAGGACCTTAGAACCCATGTGAAAGCTGGGTGAGGTGGCACATGCCTGGAACCCTAGCACTGGGGTAGGGGATTAAAGGCAGGCAGATCCTGCTAGCCAGCCGGTGTGGCCAAAACAGCAAGCTCCAGGCTCACTGAGAGACCCTGTCTCGAAAAATAAGGGGTAAAGCTATAGAGGAAGGCACCCAGTGTAGACCTGTGGCCTCCACATATGGATGCACAGGTGAACATGTGCACTGTGCTAAAATTACACTGCTAAAATTCCTTCTGGGAGGCACAAACAATGTCTGGCCCCCTCCTCTCTTGGTGCCTAAGACAAACTGAGGCCCAATTTCTCCAAACTGTAGTTTGGGAAACCAGAGAGTTTATTGAGCTTACTTACAGAGCAGTAGGTGAGGGTTTATTCACAGGAGTGTGGGTGCTCCCCCACGAAGGCTGCACTGGAAAGTCTCCATCCAGGCTTGGATGTGACCTCCCTGCAGCCACACAAAATGGCAAGAGGCACTCTTTTGCTTGTATACCCCTCGTACAACTAGGGTGGACCGGTTGGTTGGGAGGTGTGGATGACTCTTCCTACCTCCCCTTTCTTTTGAGAGGTCAACAGTCAACAAGTTTGTAATGATCCTAGGCAAGCAGGTGCAACCAAGCTTGGGAAGAAGGTGTCCATAGTTTGCCAGTCATAGGGCAGTCTTATGTAACAACATACATACACAAACAAACACACACACCACAGCAATAGATACATCAGAAGATTTAGAAGATACATATTGGCAAAAGGAGATGAAAGCCCTCTGGAATTTCACAATCCAGTGATCACTGCTTTAATGTGTTGGTGCAGATCATTCCAGTCCCCTACCCACTTCTATGTATAACCACACATTTATAATGCTAGCTTCAACTCAGTTCAACTTACTGTTTCATTCATTATTAGGTGTATAGTTCAGTAGTGTTAAATATATTCATACTGTTATGAACAGCACTGGCCATGGTGGTGCATGCCTTTAAACCCAGCAGAGGTAGGCAGCTCTGTGAGATTGATATCCAGAACTTTTTCATCTTGAGAAATTGAAAATATATACTCATTAATTTTTTTTGTTTTTATCTTTTTGAGACAGGGTTTCCCTGTAGCTCCAGCTGGCCTGGAACACACTATGTAGACCAAGATGACCTTGATCTCATAGAAATCCACCTGCCTCTGCCTCCTGAGTGCTGGGATTAAAGGCATAAGCCACCATTCCCAGCTAAATTTGTTTTTTTTTAACTTAACATAAATCATACATTTTGCCATAATATCAAATACTCTATGATATTAGATATGATTTTACATTTTAAAGGGTATCTGTTTTTCTCTCACCATAATTTAAGAAAATAAATTTTATTGTATATTTAGATTATTTGTTTTGCTATTACATATAATGCTATGATGAATATTTTTGCATGTTTTGTACACAAAGTCTTTGCATACTTCTTTAATTATTTCCTTGCAATAAATTCTCAGATGTGAAATTATTGACATAAAATGGTATTTTCAGTTTTTTTAAAAAAGTGTATGGGTGTATTTGTACTTGGATATGAGAAATGTTACCAGTTTACACTTTAAGGAGCAAAGTGGAAAAGACCCATTTCCCCACACTTTCCAGAACTGGCTGTCATTGTGTATAAGTTTTTCTTTAGAGACTTTGGTGAGTTCTGAACCAGCCCCCACATCAAATAGGAATTACTCGCAGGCAGCACTGGGGCACATGAACAGTACTGAGTGAGCTGTTGGATGTAGACTTATGACTCACATACCTCTACAAACAAGATGGGGAAGATGCCCACTTTATCTCCTAACTTGCCTTCTGCCCAGTTCTCATCCACTCGACTGATCACTGTGATGATGTCATCCTGGAAGAGAAGACTTCATGTCAGCTTTACTTGAGTTTCAGGTGGGAAAATCTTCCATGGAGGTCAATTGAGAAAGGGGCTCAGGATGTAACTCTGCAGTGAGTTGCATAGGGAATATTCCTTCCATCATAAAGGGTGGTGTTTGGGTCACTAAGGCTACAAGAGGAATGGGAGGGATGTGGAGGATCAACGGAACTCAGTAAGAAAACTTGGAAATGTTTGTAATTTTCAATTACCGGCAGAATCTAAGCTTTTCATTTAAAACAGTCTGATGGAGAAATCAAGATTGAAGCCGTAGGAAGACACACTTTCAACTTGGCAAAGAAGAATAACTTTCATTTTCATTTTGAAGACTTTTCAGAATCAATTCAGTTGTGTGTGTGTGTGTGTGTGTGTGTGTGTGTGTGTTTGAGGATTTGAGGCAGGGTCTCCCTGTAGCTGCACCTGGCCTGGATTCTCTATGGAGACCAGGCTGGCCTTGAACTCACAGAGATCTGCCTGCCTCTGCCTCCCAAGTGCTGGGATTAAAGGCATGTGCCACCATGCCCAACTAAATTCAGTTTTAATATGTCAAAAATAAAGCAGCTTTTATTCAAATTTTCTTATTATAAAAGATTATATGTAAAGTTGCAGAAACATTTGAAATGCAGATAAGCAAAACAAATAAAAAGTTTTTGTCTACCACAATGTATATACAACCACTGCTAATAGCTTGTTTGACATGTTTTTTTCCAGATTCCTTTGTAGTAGGATAAAAGATATATACATATAAAAATTGATTAAAAAATTTTTCCAAGACATACATACATGCATTCAATAATGTACAAAAATCTTAGAAATGTACTGGAGAAATTTTTTTACAATTGACTATAGTTATGATCCCCACCCAATTCAAGATATAAAACCTAGCACCTTCATTGTGCCCTTTCCCACACTAATATTCTGACTTTTGACAGTGTCTGATAGTTCTTTAAAATAAAAAAAAAGATTTATAAATTAGCACACAGAGTGTTAGATATCATCACTATCCGTTCAGTCTCCCTACTGTTTTACTTCGAACAAATTAACCCACTTAAGGCACAGTGATTTTTTTTTTTTAACTTATTGCTTTGTTAGGAACACTTCTATGGCATTTATTTATATGTGTGTGTGTGTGTGTGTGTGTGTGTGTGTATGTATGTATAGTGTGTGGTACATGTGCCACAGCATGTGTATGTGGAGGTCAGAGGACAACTTTTGGGAGGAGTTTCTCTCTTTCTACTGTGTGGGTCTAGGAATCAAACTGAGGCCATTAGGCCTGGCAGCAAGCTCTTTTACCCACTGAGCCATCTCACTGGCCCCTAGGAAAGCTCTTCAATGTCCATATATGTTCACCAATCTAAATCTACAAGCATATCAATCCACTAAAGACCTTCTGGTCTCTCTGATTTTCTGTTCCAAGTCTGTAAGCTATTTAGAGTCATTCAAATTCAAATTCAACACCACATTATGCTTTTTTGTAGCTTTCTTTATCCTTATTAGAATTTGCAAATATACATTTGGAAGTTATCATCTCTTTAATCCCTTTCTACCCTTTCAGACCATAAGTCCAAGGTCCATGTGTGCATCTGCTGCCCATGTCTGTTTTGTTCTCAATACTTAACAGAGTGGCTCCCTTTTAGTAACTATCCAATAACATTTCTTGATTATACATGTACATGAATGAAATAAAAAACACCAGGGAAAGAGCAGCTTTGGATGGAAGAAACTCTACATGTGTGTGTGTGTGTGTGTGTGTGTGTGTGTGTGTGTGTGGTATGTATATAACTGTGTGTATGGGTGCATGTGTGGAGCACATGTCCCACTCTATCACTCTGGGTTAGTCCCTTGAAATAGGCTGGCAACCAGCAAGCCCAGTGATCCTTCTGTCTGTGCCCTCTCTCCCCTGAACTTGGATTATAGGCATATGTGACCATGCCACACTTTTTATGTAGGTGATAGGATTTGAACTCAGATCCTCATGCTTGTGCAGCAATTACTCTTGCCCAGTGAGCCATCCTCTCAGTTCTTTTTTTTGAAAAAATTTTTGAGACAGACTTGCTATGGATCCCAGGCTTACTTAAGACTTACACTGATCCTGCTGCCTCAACCTCTCAAATGCTGAAATTATAGACATGTGCCACCACATCTGGCAGAGGAAGTGTGCACACCGGGGGTCCTGGTTCCTCCAAGGGGCGGGGCCGGCAGAGAATTGACTGTAGATAGTTAGCTGTGGAAGGAGGGGCTTGTGGCGCCATCTTGGGACGGAAGGCGTGGGCCCCCAGGAACGCGTGGCGGCGGGGGTGGGGAATGTACAGCAGCTGGCACTTATGGACCTGGGGCAAGGCAGCTGGCCCCTGAGACTTGGGCAAAAGCTAGTGGTTACTATGGGCGTGCTGCGGGAGTGATCTGATATGGTGGGCTCTGAGCCACAGGGCATGGAGCTAGGCACTGGGTGTTCCTTTCTTTGCAAGTCACTCCTCTTCCCCCCCACGATGATAATAATAAATGTACATAAAGATATGTTATATGGTTTTCCTGATAGCGCAAGAGACCCAGAGAGAACTCTGGCAACAGGAAGGATCTTGGATTGAATTTGGGCATGCTGAGTTAAGGAAGACCATAGATTTTTCTAGTGAAGTTTATTCTACAGCTCAGCATTCTACAGTTGTCCAGATAGACTAAATCCTCTGTTGTGGTTCCTTTGTCACTTTCCCATTGATGTGTGTGTGCGTTTCTTCTATTAGACTCCTGGGTCCATGGGCATTGATTCATCACTTTGTTCACAGGGGTCACATTGTCAATGGGCTCAGGGAATGAACAAATGTGTGCACAAATGCCCCTGTTTGCAAATCCCTAGAGAGGCTTAAGGAAGCAGACAGTGATTCCTGTCATGCCTTCCTCAGAACCTACCTGTCTGTCTGGTATAAAGTAAATACACAATAAATTCTTGTGAGATTGAACTGTCCTTTTTCTAACCGTAGCCTAAGTGTGAAGTTTGTAGTTCAGGTTACCGGATGGCCTTCCTGAGAAGTCACTCTCTGGGGTGCCAAGAGAATAAAGACGATCATTGTTTCAAAATATGCAGGACAGTGAGACAAATTCAGTTGAAGGAATTTGAAGCAAATCTCATTTCGGGTAGTGGTAAACACAAATATTTTATAAAGAAAAAGACTTCTTGAGTTATATCAATGCTAATTCTTATATTTAAAAAAAAATATTTTTATTTTATGTGTATGAGTGTTTTGCCTACATATATGTAAGGGCACCTGTGTGTGCAATGCCTGAAAAGGTCAGAAGAGGGAGTTGAATCCTCTGGAACTGGAGGTACAGATGGTTGTTAGCTGCCATGTGGGTGCTGAGAACTGAACCCAGGTCCTCTGCAAGAGCAGTCAATGCTCTTAACCACTGAGCCATCTTTCCAACCCATATGTCTTTTACTTATATATTAACCTTGTCACAAGTAGCAAAGACTAAAAGGAACTCCAACTTTAGTTTCTATTAGAGAATCTGAATATCTATGGAACAACAGATTTGAACACATAGAGTTAAAGTAGTCTAGTTTTAGTAGAACTGTCATTACTTGCAAATACTGAAGAGTCATTCCATGAAAAAAGAGCAAAAAAAAAAACAGGATAATTAATGTGCTTCGAAACCATCTTCTAAGAGGTGATTCATGTGTAAAGCTATGATTACATTATTATGTTTTGAATATTATGTCTACAACAAAATAGATGGTTGTAGATGAATAAAATTAGGTGACCATAACTTGGTCAGCAAGGATACCCTGACAGATGCACAATATAGAGGTCAGATTAGAGTTTTGAATAACATCTTGCTGAAGCGTGTTTGTTGATTTTCTGTTCACATGTTAGTTTCTGTTATTCCTTTGCAGGAAATGTGACTTGCTCTTGCCCATTCCTGATGTTTCCAAAGACGTATTTGAAAATGACTGAAGAATGGATGAGAGTGATTGAAATGAAGAATGAAAGTGCCTGAAGGAGCAGTGGTGATGAATACTTAGTTTGGTAAACACAATAGAAAAGGCTTGAACAGTTCTATTAAACCATAGATTTCTCTAAGAGATTTTACTTCCATGTAGTTTGAATCACACACACATTACTTACATATGCACTCACATATGTATATACATACATATAATATATATATACTGAAAATTTTTAAATACTAAATAACCAGATCTGGGTTCTGCCATTGTCTTTATGTGGTCTGAGAATCTTACCTTGAGGAAGGTCAGGCACTCCTGGTTCTCACTCTTGTTTCTGTCTCGTAGGTCAAAGTTGTAGAGAGCCCTGCAGAGTGGGGGTGGCTGGGGCAGCTGTTTGATGATTTCCACGGAGCTAGCTGGGAAGATTCCACTGACTCCATTGATCTCCCCTTGGTACCAGTTCTCATCAAGCTGTCTCCGGAGGAGGATGACATCTCCTTTATTGAACTTCAGGTCACCAGGATTCTTCCCTCTGTAGTTGCATAAGGCCTTGGCTCGAGGCACCTGCACAGACCAGAAAACATGAACCTAGCTTGGGGCCAGAGGGGCAGAAGGTGTAATATCAACAGTGCATTATGAAGCACATCTATGCTAACTGTGTAGGGATCATCTCATTTAATCTGGGTAGCTATCTTAGTTTCTTTTCCTGTTGCTGTGATAAAATACTCTGACAAAAGCAATTTAAGGGGAAAGGGTTTATTTTAGTTCACAGTTCAAGGTGCAGTTCATCACAGCAGGGAGGTCAAGATACCAGAAGCTTGAAGCAGCTGGTCACAGAGAGAAATGAACAATTCTTAGTACTCAACTCTCTCTACTTTATACAGTCCAGGATCTCCTTCCTAGGGAATGGTCCTGGTCACAATTAAAATGGGTCTTTCTGCACAAATTAGTAATCATCAACCCCCATCCCCATGCTCAGCAGCCCATCTCCCAGGTGATTATTTTAAATCCTGTTAAGTTGACAACACTAACCATCAAAGTAAATTGCCGCCCCCCCCCTTTTTTTTTGTCTTTTTGAGACAGGGTCTCCCTGCAGCCCCAGCTGGCCTAGAACTTGCTATGTAGACCAGGCTGGTCTTAATCTCACAGAGATCTGCCTGCCTCTGCCTTCCAGAATGCTGGGTTTAAAGACATGCACCACCATGCGTGGTCTCAAAGTAGCTTTTTGAGATAGAAACTCATTGTCACATTTATGAGAGAGGTTGACTGAGTCACAGAATGGGCTGGTAACTTGTGTAAGATGACACAGTTGGAAAATGGCAGGTATCATCAGCTCTGAACCCAGGCTACCAGACTGTAGAGCTCCTGTTCTTAATCACACCACCAGGAGTGAGATTTTGGGCTTGACTCACAGCTTTGTGAATTCTAGTGAGTCGGTGACTTTCTGGGTGTGTACTGATTTTGCATTCTGGCTGTGTCTCTTTCCACTTGTGTGATTAGGGTTGTTCTATATTTCTTAAACTACATTCATTTATAAAATGGGGTATTAGTAGAATGTCTACCTCGTTAGGGCTTTCGTGAGCATTTAACATCTTGCCTAGAATATAATATGTGCTCAATGAATGTCTTCCCTTATTAGCATCATGTGTAATGGGGAGCTAATGACACCAGTTCTGCCCACTCCTCAGCGTTGATGGGGAAAAAATGGGGATGGAAACCACCTGAAAATAGAGAGTGGTATGTGAGAGCTGCACAGTGTAATTCGTCTTCAGCCTTCTCCAGAAACTGTAGACCTCACGAGTGTTTGGATCATTAGGAAGCTCGATGGAGGCAAGGAAACATTTAGTCAGAAATCAATCACCAGTTTTTGAAAAAAAAAATCAGATTGTGAATCATCATTTGTCAGATCAGTTGTCTGTCTTTATAATTAATTCAGTCAAATGCATTTTTCTCCAACTGAGACTGGTTTTTCCACCCAGGAATGCCTTTGCTCTGGTCTTGCTTGAAGCTGGCTTCGCAGAATGAAAGCTTTAACAACCCAGGTTTCATCAAAATCCTTTCTGTCACCTAGGATCATATTTGTGTGTGCTTTCCTAAGTGGGAGGAAGTGGTCCCCTTGGACTGTTCCAGTCCTGCTGTTCACTGTGGGGAGTAGGAAGACATTAATGCAGGTCTCCCAGGATTTCCCAGCTCTGCAATGGTTATTCAAATAGAGAATTGTAAACAGATTATTTGTGGAGACAAGACCTCACATCCTTTTGGTGATAGGACAGTGGAGTTGTGGACTGTGAGGGAAGCCTGGGGGTTAGAGAGCCACAGGAATACAGCTCACATGGGGGAACTGGAGGCTATGTGAGCAACAGATGTCAAAGTGGCTGAGTCAATTACAACAACACACCCCTGCACTGAAAACTCTGTAGTCGTTCAAATTGATAATGTCACTCTGTAATCAATGGTACTGAATATCACTCATAACGTGCTGTTCAGTGTAACAGAAGTTAGAAAGTCATGCAGACTGGATTTCATTACATATTGCTTAAATGCATGGGGAAACATTAGATGTCTGTCCCTCAAAACATTGAGAGATCACTTCTAAGTAATGATACTTTTTAATATTAAAATTTCTCCTGTTTAGCTATGTTTTTAAACTTTTATAGTAAAATGATTGTGTTGCCTATTAAAGTTGGACAAAATTGGGAAAATGGAAATAAGTGGAGCTTAGAGGTGAGGAGTGGTGCTAAAGGAAGAATTTAGAAAGGAAAGTAGCCAAGTCAAGTAGGATAAGCAATCATGCACCAACCTGTGTTAAGGAAGGTGCTCCTGAACAATCGACGGGCAGACCTGATGAGCAACAGCTGTCCTTCTGTACTCTGTCTCCCTAATTTTCCACTGTAACACAAACCACGTTTTTCTGGTACGAGACTACTCAGAATACCGTCTGGTCACATTTTCAAGCCTCCCTGGCAGCTAAGTTCTGGACCATGGAGTGGAAACAATATTTAAGAAGGTCCTTACTGAAGGAGACTGATCTCTTTCTTCCTGAAGGACCCGACTGACAGCAGGAAGGCCATTTTAGAAAAAGAACTGTAATCAGCCATTCGATAAGCCAAGATTCTAACCCAGGTCTTGTGAAACTAGCAGTGGAAGATAGGACATTTGCAGTCGGACCACCTGCCACCACCCTGAGGCCCCTACCGGGAAGTTAGTGATAACAGCCCCTACTGGGAAGTTAACGATAACAATCAGTTTCACCCATAGCCCCCTCTGAATTTGGCAATACTGTTTCCTCATACCTTGTACCCATTGAAATGCACTAATAATAATCTTGTAACCATGCATCTGCTTCTGTACCTTGCTTCTGCTCTATAAAAAGCCCCCCCAAACTAAGCCCGGCACGCAAGTCCTGACTCGAGCGGGACTCTGCGTCCGCAGGCGCCTGTGTATGAATAAATTCCTCTTGCTTTTGCATCCCGAAACTTGGTTTTGTCCCTGTGTGTTGAGCGCGATTCTTCACTTCCCTCCATCCTGCTATGTGGAATGCAGCCACAGCTCCTGGAGCTCTGGCTGCCATCTTGAATAATGAGGATGAAAGCCAGTTCTAAACAGGGGAAAAGAGATCCCATGGGGTGGAGCTGACAAGCCACCCTGGACTACTTTACTTTCAGACTTTTGTTTGAAAGTTACATAAACTTTTATCTTAATGCATTATTCTTTTGGATTTATAAAAAGAAAAGAATGAAAAAATAAAGAAGATAATACAAGTCCTTTGTGTAATAATTGGTAATATAGATTATTATCAATATTAGAGTTAATATTTATTGTTTTTCATATATGCCAGATACAGTGCAAAGTACTCCACAATATGTTTTATTTAATTCTCACAACCACCTATGAAGTGTATATTAATTCCAAAATTTCAAAAATTAGAATACTGGACATCAGAAAGGTTAAAAGTTGCTCAAGTTCACAAAACCACAAAAGTAGTGGATTTAGGATTTGGACCTGTCTTTAAGCCTACACTCTTAACCATTAAGTTAGTGTTTCTCAAAGTGAAATTTGTGGCCTACCTGTACCAGAATCATGGGAGAGGTTGAAAACACAGATCCCAGACCCCATGCCCAACGTATACGATCACCCTCTCTTGGAGGGGATTTTTTGTAGCCGCATTTTAATTTGTGTTAAGCTTCCCATCATCTAGGTCTGCTGCCACTCAATTCAGTTACATCTTGCTCTGACTCAAATGGGGGCACTGGAGGTTTGATAGATGCTTGCAAATTGCTAACCTACTTTCTTCTTTTCCTTTCCAGAAGATATTTCCAGTGCTTGCGTATTTTAATGAGTACTGAGAGAGTATCTTCAAGCAAAATTGTATAAAGTGCTTGAATTCCTTTGAAGCTGCCTAACCTTTGAAACTGTGATGGCACTAATTGTCTGTCGTCGTCTTCATCACCATCTTTTCTGCATTCCTCCTCAACACAGGCAAGCACTGTGGAAGTGAACTGTAAATTCTATATTCAGCAGGAAACTCCTCTTCATTTTCTTTCTCTTCCTTCTACATAATCTGCCCCTGGTATTCTCGGTTCTCCAGTTATAGTTACAGAAAACATGATCTTGCATGTGAAGCAAGGGTGGAGGGAGGCTTGAAGGGATGGAGGGAGAGGGAGAGAGGATGAATTTGGAGAGAGGAGGAAACGAATGCTTCTCAGGGTTCTGTCAGGCCACTGAAATTTTCCTTCCGTTATTGTACTTCTGAATTTTTCATCTGTTATTTCACTCAGGTGGCCTCAAAACCTTGTGAAGGAAGTGGCATTTCCCTGTTTTATTGATCAAGAAATAGAAATTATGAGATGGTAAATGTCAGCAGACAAGGTCACCCAACCAGTGGATACCAGGCTCAAGACAAACTTAGGCTCATCTGACCCCAAAGCTAGACTCCTCACTTTCCATCCTGCTGAAGCCACCAGCATGTTTTCCCATCATAAAAGTCATCTGGGGCTGTTTTGTAATCAAAATCTGAATACAGTGTGAATGCAGTTGGCTTGCTGCTGGCTGTATTAGCATGAATTATTGAACTCCAGAGCCCTCACATGAAAGTTAAGCACCTGAAGAGTCTCAGATGGTTGATTCTATTCGGTCCTTAACTGTTCTCTCCAGGGAATATGATTCCAAGTTCTGCATCAACTATTACCCGTTGTATGGCTGGCAGCAGCCTTTATTGCTCATAATTGTTTTCTGTCTCTACAGGTGCAGGGGTGAGGAGGGGAGAGATAAAATGGAGGACTCACAGGTCATTAGCAAACGTTGTCATAGTATTTTCCAGAAAAGTAGATAATTCAGACGCAAGCTCACATGTGCCTAAAAACTGTTTTCTTTGAGATTTGGAACGCTCAGGATTGTTTCTGTAATTGGAATTCAGTTGTCTCTTCAATCAGGTCTAGAACCTCCAGGGTTGTGATTTTGGTGGAGAGATACTATACAGTACTCAGAAATAAGAGACAGTAGCAGTAAAATTACATTGTCTCTTTGCCAGGCAACCCCTTGTCCCAGGAAGTTCTTGTTTTGTC